ATAATCTACTAATCATGAGAAAAATATCAGACCTAAAGAGAAACTATTAGTCTCTCCCTATCAGGAGCAAAGAACAGGGAAGAAAATAAAAAATCCAAAGAAATAAGTCCAAAAGCCTAAAGGAGCTCATGAACCCCAGTCATCATAACTCTGAGACCCAGAAGAACTAGATGGCGCCTGGCTACCACTGCTGAAAGGGATCACAATAGGAGGTCCTGGATAAAGTGGGAGAAAAATGTGGAACAAAACTCTAAATCAAAAAAAGACTAGGCTCACTGGTCTGACAGAGACTGGTAGAACCTTTGAGACTATGGTCCTTAGACACCTTCGAGCCTGGAACTGAACTCAGGCCTATAAGCTAAACATTAATACCAGGGAAGAACACACTAACTGGAACAATCAACCATCCATGATCAAAATGGCCATATTTGCACAGGGATAAAACTCAGAAAGCAGTAAAGGATGCGAAAGAAGGATGAAGGGGAACAGTAAACACTGGGAAGAAGTGGGAAGAGTGCTGTTACACTGTGGGGATTGCAATGAATGTCACAAAACAAAATGGGTATGAATTGTTGAATGGAAAATCATTTTGTTCTGTAAACTTTCACCCAAATCACAATTTAAAAAAAAAAAAAGAAAAGAAAAATATCAGACAAATCCCAATTGTGGGACATTGTACAAAATACCTGACCAGTACTCCTCAAAACTCCCAAGGTCATCAAAAATAAAGAACGTCTGAAAACTGTCACACCCAAGAAGAGCTAAGGAGACATGAGAATTAAACAGAATGTGGTATTCTGAATGGAATCCTGGGACAAAGAACATTAGGTAGAAACTAAGGAAATCTGATAAAAGTACAAAATTTATTTAATAAGTATTTAATAAGTACATATTGGTAATTACTGATTTTAGCAAATGTATCATACTAATATAAGACATCAGTAACAGGAAATTGGATATGGAGTATATGCGAACTCTGTGCCACATAATTTTTCTGTAAATTTAAAACTGTTCTAAAATAAGTTCATTTAAGAATAAAATCTATTGATTATGAAAAATTAATTAGTACTACAATCTTGAAGGAGCTCTGGTAGCATAGTGGCTAAAGCACTTGACTGCTAACCAGAAGGCTGGCGGTTCAAACCCACCAGCCACTCCT